ATGGGTGATCTCTCTAAATATATTCCATGATGCACAAGTAAAGAAGGCCCTTTCTTCCTGATGATATAGATCACATGCATCTCCAGAGAGAGACAAAATGGCTCTGAGGCAGCTGACTATTAAACCACAGGTTCCAGAGGCCATATAGGCAGCAGCACCTTTGAGTCCCCTTGTGCAAGCCATATTTATTTCATGTAAAAACTCTTCACTACTTTAATTGTTTTAGGGCTGCTCTTCTTCACTGAACCCAGCTTAGAGGGTGAGATTGAAACTCAAATGCTTTTAGTCCAAGCAAAATCAGAGATGATAGTTCATAAAAGAGGATTTATAAGCTAAATATAGTAAAACTTAGTACTGTGGTATCTCTGAGACAATAAATACAAGAGTTCAAAGTCATTTTTTTCAGCAATTTTAAGTTTTTTGACTCACTGTCCATCCTATAAACCCAGTTTGGAAAGGCAAGATGATGCATCTATGTTTCATCAAGTTTTCTAAAATAGGTGTAGCTTCACTGCTGTAAATGAAGCTAATCTGCTTGTGTAATTGTATCCAACGCTTCAAGTTTGCTGTTGTATTTGCCTGCATTTTAGAATCTCTTAGAAGCACCAGGGAAAGCAGACGTTAGTGTTTAAGATTGCTTTTATCAGACCCCAGTTTCTCAAAGCAGACCTATGGTTGTCTGGTAACTGAAGGCTGTTCTCTGCGTACTGGTACACTAAATTCCTTTGGCTTATGCTTCTCAGTCACTTGGAGGGCTCTTGCAGAAGGTATAAAAATGGTGTGGCAAGAATATCCTTGCTCTCTCTAATTGCCAAGCTCCTGGGAGCCACAGCCAGCCATGTGTGGAGGTAATGATTGAAATGTGGCTCTACAGAGAAACTGATTGAAGCCAGTATCTGTAACTTTTTCAGTTGTCTTAAAATAAAACCAGCAAATAACAATAAACAAGCAACAAGCAAAAACAAAACAAAGACAACAGCTAACATGGATGCAGTATGCATTTTAAGTTTTGAATTAAATTGACTCTGCAATTTAGTTTGCTGATGTGCCCTCTCTCATCTGAATTGTGTTGTTTTTCTTTAGTTGCTATGTCAGTGGAATACGTTGCTGGAGTGCTCTGTGCTGCTTCTGGGGAAATGAGCGGCTGCTTTTGTGTAATTGTGATGGTTTAGGTGGGCCTTTGGACAGACAAGGTCAAATATGCCACTACTGACGAGATAAAAACCCTTACTGAAGAAGAAGAATGTAACTGTTCCATAAAACACAAAAAGCTGAGTGAAAATGTCAATACATTTTTCAGAGTTGTTTTTTCCCTGTTGTTACTGATGCAGTAAAATAAGGACACTTACTTGAGCAGATGAGTAAATCAAGAAATTACTCTTCCTATGTTCCCTTTGTCTTCAAAGGTAGAGTGGCTCCTTCAGATATTGACTGAACCATAACTTAGCTATTCAAAACAATCCTTATTTTGCTGTAGATTTAAACTCTTTTTGCCTTCAGCTCTAAATGCTTTTTGTGCTCTATGTAGTATACATGTCAGATGGTGTCCATCTATGTAGGGCTTCTGCATTGAACAATTTCCTCAAGTAACTTCTGAGATAATTATTAAAAGATAAGGATAAGGTAGAGCAATAAGGATGAGGATAAGGTAAAGACAGTTTTAAAAATGTTTCAGCCATTTCTTTTCTCTCTCCCTCCCTATTGTAAGGATATCTGATAGGGGTTGTTCAAGATGTACTTTTAATAGCGTTTAATTCTCTCTTTGCTGGTACACAAATATGCTTCTACACTTGTAGGTTTTTATAAGCTGTACATCAAATTAGTTAAATGAAGACGCAATGAGATGCTAGGACTGGATGTTATTTGCCTAGATATTCTACCTGTACTCAAATATGAAACTGCTGAACTGTCACTGGTGGCGTGATCTGGTGGTTGAAAAGGTTTAGAGGAACGGGAACTAGAACGTGATGTTGATTTAATATGGACTCTAGGAGAATGAACAGAACTACAGACCAGGCAGCTTGACTTTACTGGGCAAATGTGTAGAACTACTTAAAAAATAAATAAAAGGAATTGGGAGGCGCATGGGCAAGTATGTTTGGCAGAGGATCACTGCTGCTTTTGCAAATGCCAGTTTTCAAAAACCCAGTAAGAGTTTTTGATGGATTCAATGAGCATGAGAATAAGGGTAATCTAGTCGCTATTACTGGCACTGTTGTACCTTCAAACTAAGCCCCATTTATTTATTAGTAGAGTTAACATAGAAATATACTAGCTAAACACGAGAATTGTGGCTATAAGTTTTAGGAATTACTAACAAATTTTAGAGCTCTGTGCTACCGTTTGAACTCAAGCTGTGGCATCTCCTGGAACACTGAAAGTGTTGATTTCTGGACCAATAGTGGATCGTGTGTGAATTCAGCCTTTCTCATGTGCAGAGTCGGGGAACTAAGCAAAATAGATTTGGAGCAAAAGGGAGTATTGAAATAAACTATGTGTTATAACGTAATGGATGTCATCCTCAGATTCCACATGTGCTCTATTTAGTCTCACAAGGGCCTTGTGTTAGACTGCCTCTTTAGAGTATTTATTTTTATATCTTACATAGAGAAGGTACAAAAAATATTAATGTCAGCATATGTAACTGCCATGATGCGATTCCAGATTTCAATATCAACACACGGACCTAATTTTTTTTATTTAGATGAAACAACAAACTGCTATAATTTATTGTATGCTTGATTTATGTACTTCAGCATTGTCTTGATAACTTGAAACATTGGCTTTTCTTTCATAAGTGATACATTTTATTGTACTTACTTTTGTCTGAGATGCATATTTGTCTAGTTCACTGGTGCAAGTGGCCCAGTGAACTCAGCAGCACTGGCAGATCCCAGTTCTATTACTGCTATCACACCAGTACTAGAACTCTGGAAAGGGAAAAAGGTGCTAGAAAACAGTGGCAGAACGTATCCAGCATTAGTTACAGGGTGTTTCTTGCTTACAAGAGAAGTGCCAACCCCTAGAATGATGAACAAGAAATGTCTTTTCTGAATTGACACCTGACACGCAAGATGAATATACATCAGCACAAGTTTAACTGTGAATGTCCATTCTCTATGTAGAGAAAACAGAATACTGCAGGGTCCTAGGAAAAGAAAGCTTATCTATTTCCATAGGACCATCCATAGATCGAGGAGTTTATAGTATTGTGTGTCATCTTCCTTTCTTGAATGTACTGTGTTAAGCTTTCGTGGTCTTGAAAAGATTCAAGATGATCTTGTTTCTTACTCTAATATATTTTTTCAGTGTGTTCTCTTTCTACAATGAGCAAAGTCACTGTTAGGCTGTGCCTGTATTAGACATTGTGCATTTAAGAATTCAGCAATTTAGTTTTATTGTCAAATACCCTGGCAGCTGCTCCAGTCATTAAGTTTGGATCAGTTCCCCAAATAGAATAAGCCATATTCAAGGAAAAGAAGAAGCTTTTGGCAATACGAAGATTTCTATTCTATGGTTTTTTGCCAACACAATTTTGACTGAAAAGAATGCAAGCATTTTTGTGCTCTTAGCTGACATAGATATACTAACTGAAGCCAATAACTGTAAATAGACTTTTATAAGATCGAGAGGAAGTATCGCAATACTTCTGTTTGAATACGTAGACTGAGGTTCTTTACATGAAGTTTCTGAAAATCGAAGCTTGCTTGTCTGCTGTAAATAATAATAATAGACTGCAGCATTGCTTTTGTCTGAAAGCCTGTAAACAGAAAAAGCTAGATAGAATGTTTCAGTTGCATTGCGATCACTGGAAAACAGAGCTTCAGGTCAGCCAGGATTCATGCTGTGTTTGGCAAGCAATTTAGTCACAAAAATGAAGCTTAAAGTATTTTTTATGTTTTTGAAATACAGTATTTTTATTTAGCAATAGCAACAACGTTTGATATGAAGTCTGTAGTTTTAGCTTGATCAAATTTTTGCTGCAACTCAGAGTAGTATTCTTCTGCGGAAAAGACGCTGCACAGTTAGACAAATGTCCATTTTCAGTGCGCTGAAAATACAAAGTTGCTTTTGCACTGGAGAACCAGGTTTCTACCTCTTGCTGTGAGGCTTAAGGAATATTTCATTTTTTCCTCTGGCAGGTAGTGGTGAAAGCACCACACAGTAATGGGTGTTTTTAAAGTTTGTGTTACATAATTTTGAAAATTCTACTGCATCTGACTCGCCTTCAGAAGCCATTAACCATGGCAGTAATATGTGAGCCTTCACAACAAGGGAGCAGGAAGAAGGCCGTATTTTCTTCACAATCAACACTTTGAATGTGGGTATTGCGAAGTGTCATGAACCAAAATCCGTGTTCATTTTTAACTATTGGGATTAAACTGAAATACTGCCTTTTAAAACAGGGGATAGCCATGTAGAGGTTATGTTGACAGTCATTCAGTACCTTAATGGCAACCTTCTATTTTAGTATCAATAGATTAGCATCTTAATGGCATGTAGTCTTTTCATTCTAGCAGGTAAGCTTTCCTATTTTTACATTGCCCCATTCACCATTTTACTGCAAAACAATCTGGACAACCTCTGCTGGCACACAGCCCTTTCAGACACTCTCAGTCATCACCTGAGAGTGATGGAGAACTTAACCATAGAGATAGGTGGACTGGATTTTCATATATAAAATGCTAGGATCTTCATTTGCTAAGAGACATGATTTTTAAAGTAAACCATTGAGATAAAAACCAGAGTGTAAATACTGAAACTCAGTGTAAAAGGAAAGTACAAATGGATTATGATGCATCTGCAGGCGCCTAAGTGAAACTTAAAAGCAGAGAGACTTGAGGTGAAAAAAAATTGCCAGAAGCAGTGGCAAAGAGCTTAAATCAGGTAGGATTACAAGTACTTTGGAACATTTCTGCTGTAGACTCAAAGTTGTCATCTCTTTTCAATCTCAATATATCTTTACCCCATGCACTGACATGACCTTTTATTCAACCTAGGCTTGGATGACTTCGTGCTACCTTCCAGGAAAGGAACTGTTTTTTTGCAGCTCCTTCTTACTCGTTTTGAGAAAAGGATTAAATCTTTCCTCTGACCAAGCATACAGGCATGCTAAAGTGAAGCCACTTCACGCTCCTGGCCAAACAAAGAACAATAATACCCACAATAAGCAAAAGCAGATGGCTTCAGTGGCAGGAAATGAATGAGCCAGACTGCAGGTAAAATGGCTTTCTGAACACATCTCAGAGGTTTGTAATGACAGGTTCTTTGTTATCTGGGGCCTCCCCACTGGAGGCCAGATGTCTTCTGTTGTGAAAGGAGATAGATAGAGATGCTCTTCCTTTTCCTCCCCCTTTAACTTATGGCTGTTTAAGTTACTGCTAATGGAAGAAGAAGCCTGTTTTTCCCCCTTGCTCTCTGATGTTTTTGGAAAGAGAAGAGATAGTTAGTGAAGGGGTATTCTGATATGAAAGGAAAGGCCCAGAACTGGCCTTTACCTCCCAGTGACCTTCATTTTAAAGAACAGGGAGGTCAGTGCTGCTAATTGCACTTGAAAGGATTAACCACTTGATTGCTTTCATTTGGTGGAAAAAAACTATTCATTAATCTTAAAGTTGAAAAAATGTATCAGAGATATCAAGACATTTTCAGTGTGAGGTTGATGACCTAGATGGTTTGGCTTATACCAGTTCTGAAATTAAATAGAGGATTAAAATCTTTTTGTAGAGGGGAGAGCAGAAGATGGGGAAGTACATCTGGTGCTCAGAACAGACTTGGAGCAGGAGCGATAACAACCTCCTTTCTCTGTCCTTATAGAAGGTTTTCACAGGAATATCAATATATTAATTATGGATATTAGATGTGCTTGTATCACTTGGTGTAAGAAGAACCTCACTGTAATGCAAGAGTCACAGTAGATGAAAAAAACTTGAACCAGTTCCTGGATGCGGATTCCAGACTTAAAATCTTTTCTGCACATTGTTTTCACTTGGGAATTAAGAATCTATTTCAAAAGTGAATTAATTTTAATTCCCATTGCTCAAATAAAGTGAGGTACAGAAAACTTAAATTTGGAAGCCATTTTTAACCTTATGAAACTATTTTCTGAAAGTACCAGAGCAGCTTATATAAGCTTTTATCTGACCTCTACTTCTTAAATAAAAAAACATGTTTTCGGGGAAATGTGTCTTGCAAGTACCTTCCCCTCCCCCCAAGTTTTTTCTCTCTGGTTCTTGTAAAACACTAGGTCAGCGGGTTCATTTTATTTCTGTTTGCTTGAAGTGAATGAAAGTTTCCATCTCAAATTTGTGTGATTTAAAATCACTTCAATGATTTAAAAAATATTACAGCAATCTTCATAAAATAAAAACAGATGAAGGCGTCAATAAACTATCAGAATTCAAACCAAAAGAGATAGCATTAATCATTGTAAAAAGCCCCAATAACCTCTCAGTAGCGGTAAAATGAGTAAGAAATGCGTTGCTTCAGTAGCACTGAGACATGACTGATTTTTCTAACTGCTTGGTACACATGAGCTCACAACGTCATTTACAGCTTTGCCATGTATGTGTGTATATACATATACTCATACATATACTCATACATATACATACACACATTTAAAAATGCTTTTTCTTATTCTGACTTCAAACCTATGCTTCTTGCAGTGCTGTTGTAATTCGCACACTTCATGTGCACTCATATAACTTAACTGGCATTTCTTCTTGCAAACGGAGATCACTTTGGTTGTCAATTGAGATGGGGTTTTAGATGCATTCACTTATGCAGATGAGATTACAAATCTGAAGTACAACCTGCAGGGAGTATAGCTGTAGCTTGTTTAAAGCAATATTTACTTGGATTTCATGAATATCTTGATGCGTTAAATATCTATAAACATATACAGTAAATCAGTTGTTTGATTCTGCATGGATTCCTGTGTAATAGTTAAAAAAAAAAAAATTAAAAAAAATAAAAATTACATGAAGTTTTTTTCAATGTAGTGTTTCTATACTGGGATATTAGGGCACTCTTCTGGAGAGTATGGTACAGATGATAATTTAGTCAGATTTCTAGAGTAAAATATACAACAAACTTTTTGGAACCTCTCTTAAAAAATGATCTATTATAGTTCTTCAATCTGTGTCACTTTCACAAGGTTTAGTTTTTTGCCAGTAAGGCTTATGAAAATATTCAGAAATATGCATCCACCTTATATTCTACCTATAATCAAATATATGTCAATATCTTAAGGCTATACTTTTTACCAACATAATTTTATTTGGCAGAACAACCTAGAATGATTAAAAATATACATATTTGTACAATTTTGCTCATAAAATAATACATCCGGTACCTCTGCCAGCACTACCTTTACTGCTAGCACTTGGCAAAGGCACATACAATTACACTCACACATGATGACTCTGCCAGCAGTCCTATGCATATCAGGAAAAATTAAATCAGAAAAGATAGTCTTATTTATGCTGTGCAAATTTGCACAGTGTTGCAAAAGAAGTAACACAGTGGATTCACACTCTGCTTAATTTAAGGAAGTCCTGTCAGGAACGCTGGGATCAGAAACACAATCTATCATATTTCTTGTCTCTGTATATTTAGCTTAGGTCCTGAAAAAAGATCTACGGTTTCAGGTAACTCCAAGTGTGCAATGAGTCCTTTCTGCTACTTAGAATATAAGAAGATGGCATCTACAAAATTTTACCATGATATCCTATAATGATAGAAGTTAGTGTTTGCCAAAATAATAACGAACTAACTTATACAAACACTTAAATTCTGTTTGAAGGAGTCTACAATTATCCAGGAAACTGAGAATAATTTTAATACAACAGTACATGAATGGTACTATAGAAATCATGCACTGTACAATGATATTTAAAGAGATCGCTTTTTGATTACAAGGACAATTCTTGGAGTCAATCATCAAGCATGTAATTTATACTCCATTTACTCAATGTGGCATTTCATTTGTCCCCAGTCCTCTATTAAATACTGTCCTAATAACTTCAGGACCTTTTTGAAGTCATGTAACTGAAATCAATCTGACTAGATAAAACATATGAAACATCCAAAACATAAATAACAAAAGAAGCTAGCATGCAAAATCCTTTTTTAGAGTTAGATCCATATGGGACAAAGGCCAGCTTCTCCAATCCCCACCTGAAGAAATTCCCTGTGATTAGCAGATCAGGTTCAAACACTACAGTATTCAGTAAACTGTTAATTCTATTCAAATAATTTAAATCAGACTGCTCATCTGAGTAGTTCTGCACACGTAAGGTTACTTTTAGAGGAAAGCTCTTAGCCATGACTAAGAGTACAACCTGTTTCCAGATTTCAATCAGGTAAAATTACATTATTACAGTAGATCATAATTACAAAAGAAACAAAATAAAAGGTTGTTACCTATAGGTTGTCACTTATGGACAGACAGTTTATTCTTTTCCTGTGCCACACTTGGCATTTTTAATCAATGTGTACATAAATGAAAAGAAAAAAAGCAGATTATCATATTGTCCTTTGTAGTTCTCTTTCAAAATCTCCTGGTGATAATCCACAAAGAAATAATAAATTGCTTCTATTGTGGAAAGGTACGTATCTGGCTTTCCTTTCTGATGACGCCAAAAGCAAGTTTTCCTTGTTTTCAATTCAATTTGTAGTAACCCTGTCAAGAACAGAAAATTGACATGGATTAGAGAAGATCGGGGGTTAGGATGCCAAACAAGCCTTCAGTTGCTCTGGTTTTGGCTTTGCTGCTAGCTTGCTATATGCCTGCATGCAAATAATTTCTCTCCTCCATCTTCACTTTTCAGCTGCAAAATGGCAACAATATTTTCTTTGAAATTTGATGGAACAAGTCAAGAAACTCCAGAGCAGAAAATTTTAAGTAATAAGTAATTATGGCTTGTGCTTATGGTAGTTAGTAGTTCTATTGTCTTAGTACTGTGCCTGCTGTTATTATAACTATATTGTTAATTTTCTGAAGAGGTCATAGTAGCAGCTTGAAAATGCTGTTTGAGGCAGGAATTCCACCCCTCCTCTAATCTTCTGTATTCACAAATTTTAGGAGTAACTTTCAGAGTTGGGTTTGCAGAATGGCAGAGGTTCGAAGGACCCTGAAGAGATCCTCCTCCAATTGACTCCCACGCTTTCAATATTTATAAACATTGATCAGATCCCCTCAGTCTTCTGTACCCTGAACAGATGCAGGTTTCTCAGCCTTTCCTCATATGGGTGAAGCTCCAGGCCCTTTATCCTCTTTGAAGTTGAGGCAGAAAGGATTCACATACCTTGGATTTACCTTGTCTCTACTGTAGACCCCTGAATAACAAATCAACTTACATTATTTTAAAAAGAATGTGGAAACTTGTGACAGAATTTCCACTTATTTGCATTGCGCTCTACACCTTTGATTTTGAGGGAAGAAGAGAGATGAAAAGGACAAGAGATTTATCAGCGAAAGAGGACCTAGGGAATTTTTATGATTGTATATACAGCTATTTCACTTAACCTTTTCTGTAGCAGTAACAACTTTTTTCTTTTTACCTTGAAGTCTTTCATCAGTTATTATTTTATTAGTTTGATTCCAGGTACTGTCAATAAATATTATTTTCTTCAGTTTAGTGCTTTCATTCATGTTGTTTGAGATGCATTCATTTGTATCTTTCTCTTCTGCAGGTTCTACTCTTGCTCTCTTAGGAAACGGCTCTTTGGAACAGTCATCATCAGTGTCACCAACACCTTTCCTGGAGTATTTTTGGAGATGGAAAGCAATGTCTTTTACTGAAACTGAATCGGGGCCGGGAAAGATAAGTGCCACCTAAATGAAGAAAATAAATGAGATCTGAGCAATATGCTAATGAAACAGTAGGAATTATTTAGTTAAGGAATAGAAACTTCCCCGCCCACAAGCATTTAAGTCAGTAGAGAGGGAGAGTTTCTCTTTAAATACTAATATTTTATTGATGTATATTTCTAATAGGCTAAAGGATTGCATTAAAATAATGAATAAAGATATTTCAAGGATGTTTAAATCTGGCAGATGCTGACTAGGATGAGCAGAATACCCATCTGAGTATTTTTGGATATAACACTTCTTATGGTACACGGTATCACATTATCTACCACCTAAAGTGCTGGAAACAGAAAATTCAAGGTGCTTAGATGGTGCTGCAATATCTTCAAGCTTTGTAGGACAGACCGTAATCGTTATACATTTGTAGGCCCGTGCTTTGAGATGTTCAAGATGGAATGGACCGGATTAACAGAATAGTGCTTCCCACTCTCCCAGAGGAGTGCTATCAGCTTCAGGAGGGGAAGCATGGAAGATAGCTCTGTTTTTTTTCCCAACGCGAAGCCCTGTTATTTACATGGAATTTCTTACTTCATGTCTTTTTTCTTTGTATTCAGGAATGCAAGGGTACTTGTAAATTGTAACATCATCAGGTGCCAGGAGCTTAGCGTGCACAGCAGTGCTCTTGCCATCAGTTTCATTTGGGTGCTTAATAATGTCAATCTTCAAAGGTAACTAAAGCAATAAAGAAAAAAGAATCATATAAAAACATAGAAATATACAAAAGCTTATACAAAATTCAGGATAAATCCTTATGCGCATGTAATTAAGACATTTTTCTTTCAAATAGTTTACAATTATTTTTTTTTCATGTTTAGAACTAAACCAGACACAAGTGACAGGAAGCACCTGTCACATTCTCTGACTTCACATAAATACCAATGAATGCAATTTGGAATGCTGTAGCACTAGTGTGCTTAACAAAGCTCTAGAAATAGCATCAAATGATAGATAAGATATGGGCTTAAATTAAGCAATATAATGGTTTTAAAACATGAATACTCATCTGTATTACATATTCACCCTTGGTTATGGACAAATCATACCTTATTCACAGTACATTTTGTACAGGCCAGAATTCCTACAAGCTGAATAAAAGTAAATTTTTAAAAACGAAGTAAACTCACACTTATGAGTGACTTCTGCTTATCTTCCCAACAATTAGGCACATAAGCATTTATGTGAAGAGTGGCACACTGTCAGTGCCTGTGCATGTAATATCTCAAATAAGAACAATAATTTTATCTAAATGGAATTTATTCATTCATTATCATTTGTGTTAAAAATTACTGTTTGTAAAGAACAGTAGAATTAGAAAAGAAATGATCACAGACCATCTTTTTTATGTCCCTAGAAACTAAAAGACACAAGAATATTATAAAAGATTCATAAGAAATATTAACCTTCACCATTGGGATTTCTGTGATAGGGACAGTTTCAACAGGAAGAAAGCATGTGTAACAATAAAACATCCTTGAGCTACTGCATCGTGGGCATTTTGATCTCCCACTTTTTTTTGCCTTTTCAAGTACTTCCTGTGACGCCAACTGTAATTTTTGAAGTGGGTTATCTTGAAATGGCGATGGAGTCTGCTGTTCTAGACTTCTTTTTGGTCCTTGAGAGTTTTCTTCATTTAGAATTGTAGATGAATTTAAAGACATGGTTAGCTGAAAGAGACAATGTGATTTACCTGTAAAACAAAGATCCATCATAGTATAATTATAAAGAGATTATTCTATATGATCCTACATGTGATCCTATCAACAAATGTACTTCCTATAACAAAAAATAGCACAATCATCTGACCCAGTTATAGCAGTACCACGAACTCCAAACAGATTTCAGGAACCAGACAGAACTTGAGATGTCTATTCTTAATGCACATATGCTCATCCTTTTACCCAGATAACTCAGCCTTATGGCTTTTTTTTTTTTTTTTTTTTTTCCTAGGGGCAGGATCTGTGTCTACAAGGTAACAGCAGATACAAGGTACCTGCAGGAGCAGTCCCATCAGTTTTCAGCATGGCTACTAGTAAGGAATTAAACGTCTACAGACAGAAAGCTGTAAGATCGAACTGTAACTAGACTTCAATCTTTGTGCTGCAATGTATTGTGCATAGGCAGGCAAACAAACTAAATGAAATTCTTGTTGACAGACCTTTGTAAGAGAAAGGAAATCCTCCTGGAACAAAGCTTGAGGCTAGATTAACACTTCAGAAGAGCGTTAAAATAGGGCTGTGGCACTCCATATAGTAACTAGTAAGCACTGACAGTCTAAACTCATCCTGCAGGTGAACATTTGTTCAGTAACACTGACGGAGCGGCCTTTTTGCAGGCTTTCTTCACAACAGACTCTGCAGCCGGTGCAGAGCTTTCTCTCTGCTTTCAGTAGCTCTGCCTGCCCAGCCGGGATCACTACAGCTGTGCCGCAGCTCCCGGGACGCTGCCTGCCGGGTCAGTCCCGCCGCAATTCAGCCCGTGCGGGAGGAGCCGCCTGCAGGAGCTGCGAGCTGCCCCGCTTCACACGAGGGCAGTAATCCCCGTGTTTACTTCTGGCTGACCGAGATGTCTTTCGTGTCGGGGATCGCACTGGAGAAGCGATGTAACCCAACGGCCCGCTTAACGACTGCAAACCAACAGCAATTCCCCAGATGTGGTCCGAAGGGAACTGTTTAGATAAAACCGAGCGTAATCTAATTGGAAAACAACAAAGATAAAACGCTCAGCAAGCTTTACACTAGGAATGTAAAATAAATCCCGGATAAATTAAATATTTGTGCGTGCTTCGATACCTCTCCCTCCCGCAGCGACAAGCTTTAGCATTTTAAAGGCCAGGAAAACCCACTGAACAGTCAAATCCCAAGGCGCGGACAGGTTCCTTGCTGCGATCTGCTTTTCGGGAGCTGGCAGCGAAAGGCCGAACCCGGCCAGCGCCGCAGGACAGCGGGCACAACTTCCGCGACGGCCAAGGCCTACGCACAGCCGCCGGCTCCCGCCGCCCGCCCGGCCCCCGGCCCCGCCGCGCCTTCGCCGCGAGTCGCGCAGCTGCCGCTCCCTGCCGCTCCCTGCCCCGCCGGGCCGACTCCCAGCGCGCGCCGCGGCCCCGGAACGACCCGGAACGCCAAGGGCGGGCTGCGCGCCGCGGGAGCGGGGCCGGAAGGACGTGGCGGCATCGCGGTTTGGCGGGAAATGGTTGCTAGGGGCCCTTAGCAACGGCACGCGGCGGCCTGCAGCGCGCGGCCGTCCTTCCTCAGCTCTTCGGCGTTTCCTGCCCATTTTTTTTTCCACGCAGTGCACGTACCGCCATGCTTACGGCTCGCGCCGAGGGCTGGAGAATTTCGTCACGGTATTTCTTTGTGGCTGCTGCTGTTGTTTTTCATCTCTCTCCACAGGACTGCAAGGTTCTCCACGCAGCTCGGGCTGAGTGAGGGCACTGCCTGCTGTGACGTCCTGTGGTCACTGGTTTCATTTTTAAGCTGAACTGCCTGTGCGAAAGCAGTAATTTTGGTATAGGAAATATTTATCTTGGCTGAGTCGAAGGCAGTCTGTGGTGTCTTAGTTGCAGGAGCCCTAGGGCACGAATTAACATTTCTTACATCTTGTTCATGCTTGGAAGTAAGAGTGTAAGTTGAGTTTTTAATTGCACTCAACCTGGGATGTGCGAGTCGACTGACTTCAGTCAGATTTCTGCTCATTCACAATCCTTGCGTTGCTTCCAATTGATAAACAAAATCGGAACATAAAAGCAGAGCACACCTATTTGGTGATGCAACTTTCACATCTTTTGCCCGTATATATTTTAAAAGTACATAAGTGATATAAATATCTTGCTACTTTGCATGGATATGTCTAGAGGAAAAGGGAAGTTCTGCTTTTGTGATTGTGTCTTCTTTAGCATCTTTCTCAACATTTAGGAATGTGATTCTTCTGTTTTTTGTAGAAATGACTACGAATGAGCTGTTTATAAGCTACAGTGATTGCCTTAATTGTAAGTTTCAATAATCCAAAATTTAAATGTATGCTCAGATGTGTTGTCTTATGGATTTTAGGGCATTCTGGTGAGAACAATTCTTACTGTGTGTCAGTCGAAAATGGAAAAGCCTCCTTTGACTTTTGAAGAATTCCTACGGTCTCAAGACTTGGTGAGTCTGACTACTTGTTATTTTAATAACCCATGTGTAGAATGGAGTGAACATGCAGAAATGGGATCGTGAGCAAAGCCATGTAAATATCAAGAACTGAGTTTGAACATAGATTGTATTTCCTAAACCCTCAGGCATTGCAAACTAAGAGGTTTGCAGCAATGGCAGCTCATCAAGAGTGGCCTTGTTGTTAACTTCCTTTTTCCAGAAAGGTAAACCACTGAGAAAGTTTTTGTCTGCAGTACAGCGCTTTTGTATTGTTGGAAGCATGCTTGAATGATGATACTGACCCAAGCTTTGTTTAAAATATTTGATCAGACCACAGCATTACTAACATAACACAAAGTGCTGAACCCTAAGGCAAAACGTGCTTATGAGTGTGGCAGGGTGAACAGCTAGCTACTTTTGTTTCTTTAATGAGGTTGCTTTCTTTTCTTGTACTGGGAAGCATGTTAAGGGAAATCTTTCAATACGCTTTTGTATTTTGTTAAATAATTTAATATAATGTGAATACCAATGATTCCTTGAAATTACATTATTCTTGAAGGAAGCAGAAAATTTCTTTTGACCTGCCTACATAATTTGCAAGTATTGACTCACTCAAAGCCTCTAACTGCAGAGCTATGAGGAAAATAGTTCCTCTGCACTGAACCAAAGCTTTTTATCTCATGTAAACAATGAAATAAAAATATTTAAAAATGTTTTGTGAAGTGGAACATTTCATTATAAGAATTTAATTTTTACTTAGGGACAAATTATGTGAAGAAACAATCTGATATAAAATTGGAAGCGTTATGATTTTTGATGGAAACATTATAATTTTGAATAATATCAAAACAAAATATTAATATATTTTAGTTTTTCACTTGGTTTTATTTGTTTTTTCCTTTTCTATCCTGAAATGCTTGTATGTATTACTGGTTTGCTCTTCATTTGATTTGGCAGGGAGAAGGGAGAGAATAATTTGTTTTTCTGTCCAGCTATTATGGTGGAACGTGTCCTTGTTTTTCAGCTATATTAGGGATTTTAAAAACAAATTGATCGTTCCATATTAACACTTGCAAAGTTGTTTCAGGGAAGTAATCAATTTGATGACTTACTTCAAATGACTACCATTGGTTTCAACAGGTTGTTCAAATGTTTAAGCTACTAGTTTTAATTCTTCACTGAGCAAGGAGCAGTTTCTTCTTATGCTTCCAAGGCTGTTCTCAACAGATGGAAGACATTACTGTCCTTTCAGAGAACTTAAACTGCACATGATTTTATTTGTCTCTTTAGAAACATAACAACCCTTTTTTTCCCTGAGTTATCTCTTTTTCTAACTAAAAAGTTATAGTCCTTTTAATTGCTCTGCGTACGCTATAATGGGCCTCCTTGGCCTATGTCTGTTTTTCCCTCTTTTTGAGATGATATAATCATCTCTGAATGCGGCACATGGAGCAGCAGGAAATTGCAGTCTATGTTAGCAACATTGCCAAGATCTGACGTTCTTAAAATGTGTAAGTAAAACGTGCTTATACTGCTATTGCAACTCTTTATCCAGAATGAATTTCACAGGTTACCAAATTTAATCTTTCCATTTGTCTCGTATTCAGAGATAATTATTTTTTTGATGTGTACTGATTGCAGAAGGACTGGCCGAGATATGTCTGTTTGGATGAGCCTTATTTGGTGGATAACTTAAGAAAAGACTGTTCCTTCAGCGCGGTCGCTAGGAGGCTGTGTGAACATGCTCCGCTGACCGTCAGTTCGCTCTCAGATTTTGAGAAGAGAATGAACACATGCCTCGTTGAACTAAAGAAACATGCTGGAAGAATCTTTTCATTACAGTGTGGACCAGTGTCTCTACAAGAACAGCTAATTGCCCCTGAACAGAGTAGTAATCATTTATTATTTTTAAAGTAGAAAATGAGAAAAAAAATCCTAGTGCCTTCAAAAGGTGTACAGAACTAGTGATTTCTGCCCACTTCTTGGTAACATTGTAGAGTAATAGAAAAAGAAAGGAATGTAAACGTACATAGAATTTGTAGGTTTAGAGATTGCAAAATTCCAGAAATTTAAGTAAAGTTAACGGTGCATGTTTGAAGTTTCCTAGGTACTATTTAAAACAAAGCTATTGTTCCAGAGAAGTGTTTACAGCTTTTCCTCATTTGCAAGTACAAAGTGTCAATTTTATAATTTAAAAAATCTAATCAGCTGAAGTCCCAGTTCTGGCTAGAACATAGGAATGTTTTGTTTCAGACCTAACAAAGTGTCCATGAAAACGTGTTCTCCACAGACCTTGGTGTTACAAAGTAAGGGTGAGAGATGTAGAAATACAAAAATGGTGATTGTCAAGTCTTCCAATCCATGCGGTAGTGCAGTAGGATGATGCAGCATCTTGTTTTATGCATGCATGCATTTTGACATAGTTATGGATAAATTAAAAGCCTTTGTCTGATTAGAGCTTTTAGTCCATACAGTCATCAATCCAGGTTCTATATCTGGATAAATTTACTAATTTTTTTAGAGATTCCTATTGAGCAAATTGATTCAGAGCTTCTGACTTGGGAAAGTGAGACGAGGAAAACAAAGGTATATTATGTAATTATGTATTTTTAGTTCTCTTTGTGGGTTAGATGAGGAAGACTAAATTTGCAAGTCTTTTCCTTGGTTAGAACTTAGATTACATTTACCTTTGTGTATTTTTGGGTGGGGAAAAAAACTAAACAAAACAAACAGCCATATTTGAAGTATTTTTTTCTTTATATCTCTAAGGGTATTTTTTAATATACGTCACCTAACGTCAGTTTTAGACGGTTGCTCTTAATCTGAATCACACTCAAAGTTCATAGTATGAATTTTCCTAGCTGAAAATATTACTTACACAATTGTGTGAAATAACCTTTATTTTGAACTGTGAACTTAATAACTTCCAGGTTGCCAAACGCATTGCTGAGGAGTCAAAGGGTTGAAATGTGGAGGTGAGCTTTATTGTGTTAATTACATTTTTAAAATTGCACGGCGTTCTTTCTTTAAAACGTATTTTGAGCTGTAAGTCAAAGAAATACCTCTGTTACCAACCCAAGGGAAGAAAAACTGAGATCCATTCAAGATTAAATATTAAATTTTCTAGACTACTTGAATTTAGATGTATTGCATAATGGAAATTCCAAGTACGGTATAAATATACTGGGTAGTTTTATTCATTTGATTTTATCATCAACTGTTGGGAGTGTTGCTTGTGACTTTCCAGTAGGGAAAGGGGACTTGAAGAAAAGATGTCTGTCACAGTTTGGAATATCTTGA